AAATCATGCCCCGCCCCCTCCCTTGAGCTTTCTCCATTTCTCATGTGACTCACATTCTAGATTTTTGGTATCTTGGCTACCTGCTTCTGAATGAACCCCTATTCAGAACCTGGTGCTCTGGACACACATGTTTATCAATTCAGCAGATTTCAATACATTTTGGCCAATGGTTAAGAGCAAAGTGTTGGGATCATACAATCCTGGGTTCAAGCTTCACAACTTACTAGCTGTGTAGCCTCCAGTAAGTTACTTAACCTCTCTGAACTTCAGTTTCCTTCTCTGTAGAGTGAAGATAAAATTACTAGCCGCTTTACTGAGAATTAAGTGATAGAATGGTGTGAAGGACCTCCCATAGTGCCTGGCATATGGTAAATGCTGGAAATCTTGGCAGCCACATAGTACTGATAGATGACTCATGCTGAGTTTGTATTCAACCAGAGCCAAGGGTCTTTCTCACACGAACTGCTAACATTTATCCTTATTAAACTTCATTTTGTCTGTTTTAGCCCATTGTCTCATTCTGTCAAATTGATCCTGTCACCACACAGTAGCTAGCTCATCCATCTCTGAGTCATGTGCAAATCCAATAACACGCCTTTTATATTTTCATTTGAGCTCTCTCCAGTCCGATGCCAATATGCTACTCAGGATTCTTTAGGTTCAGCTGGTCAACCAGCCTTCAAATTACTCAACTGTGCTATGATCCAGCCCACATTGACTCCCCCTGATTGAGAGTCCCCTCCACCCCTCTGGAAATTGTGAAGGCTCCAAAGAAAAAGTTAATTTATGTTCAACAACTTCTGTTACAAAAAAAAACAGGGAAATTATAAAGTCTTTTAGAAAGACTTCAAACAAAATATGGTCAACATAAACTCTGGGCACTTGACAGGGTAAATTTCATTTATCTACAACATTCCTTCACGGGGAATTATGTAAACCCTCTGCAGTGCTAGAAAATGAGGCATTGTTGCATAGGGCCTTCCATGTTTTTCCATGTGGTTTATACTTCCTCTCTGCCAGGATAGAAACTGCTCAAGGCCAGGAGTCATTTCTATCATTTCATATCTTTTTCAGCACCTGAGTTCTGCAGAGAGAAGGCAATCTAAGCTTTGCACACAACACACTCTTAATACCTGCCAACCAACAAGTCACCATAAAAATTAACCACGTCCAGGCACACATCGAGCCAACAGCGGGAAGCTCAGAAGCGTCAGCTGTGAGAGTTAAGAGGGCAGAAATTGTGTGTCTCATTCGTGTCACCCTCAAGGTACCTGTAACGTCCTATATTGCACATGGTAGTTACAAAACTCAGAAAAGACTTTTCTGAATGTTGAGTGAACAACATGGAGACAAAAGCCACAGTCCCAGAGTCACACGGATCCTTTTATCCGCATGCCTGCCTTCACATGGGGAGGACACAACTGATACATCATCAAGAACATCGTAATCAAGAAACATTCACTGAGGGCCCATAGGCCACAGACGTCATACATCCCAGAGGGCGGGAATTTTGGTGGGCAGAGGACAAGTCTGCAGAAAGTTGACATCAGGTGTATCTCATGTACCATTTAAAGGCTGAAGACATCAGATAGGCTCCAAGGGAGGGCAACGCCTTTTAACCAAGGTCTTTGGGAAAGCTTCACTGAAGAGGGTAATTGGGTAGGATTTTAAAGGTTGAAGTAATCGAAAAGAACTTTTCAAAGTGGGAGAATGGCCTGGTCATGGCAAGGGGCTGGGCAGGCACAAGGTGGTTTTGGGTAGTGACAAGTAGATGATTCGTCTGGAATAGGGGCCTCCTGCTAATGCCCAGGCTAGCTTTTCCTGGGAAGCCGTAGCATATGCTGGTGTGTGTGTGGGGGGGGATGGCTGGTGGCTGTGGCTCAAAGTTACCTGCTTCACAAAGAGCAATAACCCGTGTCCTCTCTCTTATTGGCATTTTCTTATAATCTGAGTTTGAAATCCAATTAAACAGACTATTCTGCTCTCTGTAGCCCAGTTGCTAAATATCACTGGCAGCCACAGCTCAAATAATAAAACTTGCCCTTTGGCTCCCCCAGTGTTGTCCATCTCCAGCCCCAGCAATACCGACACCTAACCCTTCACCCCCGGTCTTCTTTTCCTCCTGGCAAGGTCACGTTCCCTCACAAACCCCTGAAAGGGGCCGTTGGAGGGAAATGAAGTTCACGGGTGGAGGGAGAGGAACTCAAGTCTGGAACAGCATGTGCAAAGGTTTGGTGCTAAGAGGTGTTCCCGAGGGTGCACAAGCCTTCTCCTCAAGTGCTCTGTGCATCTCCCTTCGCCTTGAACCCTCCCTCTTTCACTGGCCTGGCGCTGCCCGGAGCAGGGGCTGGGCCGCAGGGGCTCTCACCTCGCTGGATCGCAGGACTCCGAAGAATGGGTAGAGGAAGGCGGGCACCAGGGCTGCAGCGCCGAGGGGCACGGCCTCGGACACCCAGTACACGGCCGTCACGATCAGCACGTACGCACACGCAGCCTCCTGGGAGGGGAGAGAGTGGGCCGCCGGTCATGGGGACAGCCACTGGCCCTGAGAATCCAGACCGGACCCAGGGCAGAGGCGGCGGGCACTGGGCTCAGATGTGGGCACTGGGACACAGCCCTGCAGGGGAGTGTGGTGGAAGCACAGGGGACCCGTGATTGGTGTGAAGTGATGGCTGCTCCTCGGGGGGAGCAGACACCTGCCATGAGGTTTGCACTGACTCGCAACAGGGTGGCCACTGGGCTGTTAGGACATCACAGCTCTGCTGGTCCTCAAACTGCGGGGTAGGGACCAAAACCAACGGCAGTGCTCAGAGCCGAGGTCATGTATATAGAGGTGGAGTTCCCAGGACCTTGGACGGGGCAGGGTATTTCGGTGTCAGGTTGATGGGACACTAGAGCTTCTTGGGGGTAGTTGAAGGCAGTGATCAATCTGCGTGGTTGGTTCACCTGTGAGCTCTGGGATTGGCCCGTGTGGGGCAGGTTAAGTCCTTGCTGTGGGGCACTGTCCTGTGCCTGGTGAGATGTTTAGGAGGATCCTTGGCCTCTACCCACTAGATGTCAGTAGCACCTCCCCATTTGTGACAGCCAAAAATGTCTCTAGACATTGCCAAATGTCACTTGGGGG